ATCCTTCAGAAATGAAGGAGAAATAGTGTATTTTCCAGACAAATAAAAACTGCAGGAGTTCACCACCACACAACCAGCCCTATGAGAAATCCTCAAGAGAGTCCTGTATCTGGAATCCAAAACAAAATACTCACTACCATGAACACATGAGAAAGAACAAACACCACTGATAGAGCAGATATGCAAATGGGAAAGAGAAAGAAACTATACCATACCACCTCAAAAAACCAATGAACACCAGAGACAAACAATTAAAGGGGAAGAAACGTAAAAAAGATATTTAAATCAATCATACCAAAAGCAATTAAATGTCAGGGGTAAGACAATCCTTTTAATCACAACCCTAAATATAAATGGATGTAATTCCCTAGTCAAAATAAATAGACTGATCGATTGGATTAAAAAGGAAGACCCAACTATGTGCTATACACAGAGACTCACCTCACCTGTAAAGTCACACACAGATTAGTAGTGAAGGGATGGAAAAAGATATATCACACAAATGGAAATTAAAAATGAGCAGGAGTAGCTATTTTTATATTGGTTTATATTGGATAACATAGACTTTAAACCAAAAAACTATAAAAAGAGACAAAGAAGGCCATTATATAATGATAAAGGGATCTATATAGCAAGAAGACATAACAATCAAATATATATGCACCCAACACCAGAGCATCCAGATATATAAAGTGAATAGTATTAGACCTAAAGAAAGAGATAGACCCCAATATGATAACAGCTGGAGAGCTGAATGCCCCTCTGTCAGCATTGGACAGATCATGTAGGCATCAAATCAAGAGAGAAACAGAGGATTTAAACTACACTTTAGAACAATTGAACTTGGTGGATATCTACAGAACATTTCATCCAACTACTACAGAATATACATTCTTCTCACCAGCACATGGAACATTCTCTAGGACAGACCACATGTTAGGCCACAAACCAAGTCTAAATAAATTTTTAAAAAGTGAAATCATTTCAAGTATCTTTTCAGACCACACTGGATTAAAACTAAAAATTAATAATAAGCAAAACTCTGGAAACTATACAAACACATGGAAACTAAACAACATGCTTCTGAGCAACCTATGGGTCCAAGAAGAAATTACACAGGAAACAAAAAAATTGCCTGAAACTAATGAAAATAAAGACACATCATACTAAAACCTGTGGGATACTGCAAAAGCAGTACTAAGAGGGAAGTTTATTGTAATAAATGCTTACATCAAAAGAATAGAAAGATTTCAAATAAACGACCTAACACTAAACCTCAAGAACTAGAAAAACAAGAACAATCCAATCCCCAAATTAGTAGATGGAAATAAATAATTAAAATTGGAGCAGAACTAAATGAAATAGAGACCCAAGAAAGATACAAAAGATCAATGAAACAAAAAGTTGTTTTTTTGAGAAGATAAACAAAACAGATAAGCCATCAGCTAGGCTAACTGAAAAAGAAAAAGAGAAGATCCAAAAAACAAAAATCAGAAATGAAAAAGGAGACATTGCAACTGATAACACAGGAATACAAAAAAATCTTTAGAGATTATTATAAACTATATGCCAACACATTTGAAAACCTGGAGGGAATGGATAAATTTCTGGACACATACAAACTACGAAGACTGAACCAAGACCAATAACAAGCAGTGAGACTGAAGCAGTAATCAGCAGTCTCCCAACGAATAAAAACCCACGTCTGGAAGGCTTTTTTATTTTTTTCCTTTTTGTCTTTTTTTACTGACTGGTAATGGGATCACAGCCCGCGGTGTTGCGCCCGCGCTGCGCTCAGCCAGTGAGCGGGAACCAGTCTCCACATGGGATCCGAACCCTCGGCGGGAGCGCCGCCGCGCTTCCCAAGCGGCGCACTTATCCAGTGCGCCACTGGGCCGGCCCTCTACCAAACTTTTAAAGAGGAATTAATATGAATTCTCTTAAAACTATTTCAAAAAGTTGAAACAGAGGCCATTTTCCCAAGCTCATTCTATGAGGCCAGCATCACCCTGATACCAAAACAAGACAAAGACACAACAAAAAAAGAAAACTGCAGGCTGATATCTTTGAGGAACTTAGATGCAAAAATCCTCAACAAAATATTAGCAAACATAATACAGCAACACATCCAAAAAAATTATACATCATGATCAAGTGGGATTTATCCCAGGGATGCAAGGATGGTTCAACATATGCAAGTCAATAAATGTGATGACACCACATCAACAAAACCAAGGACAAAAACCATATGATTATCTCAATAGATACAGAAAAGGCATTTGACAAAATTCAACATCACTTCATGGTAAAGACTTTCAGCAAATCAGGTATAGAAGGAAATTATCTCAACACAATAAAAGCCATATATGACAAACCAATCACCAATATTATCCTGAATAGGGAAAAGCTGAAAGCTTTTCCCTTAAGAACAGGAACAAGACAAGGATGCCCACTCTCAACACTCCTATTTAACATAGTACTGGAAGTACTAGCCAGAGAAATCAGGCAAGATAAAGAAATAAAGCACATCCAGTTTGGAAAAAATGAACTTAAACTGTCCCTGTTTGCAGATGACATGATTCTATGTATAGAAAGACCTAAAGACTTTACAGTAAAAACTCTTAGAACTGATAAACAATTTCAGCAAAGTTGCAGGATACAAAATCAACACACAAAAATCAGTAGCATTTTTATACTCCAACAACAAACTAGCAGAAAAACAAATCAAGAAAACAAGCCCATTTATAATAGTCACCAAAAAAATAAGATACCTAGGAATCAATTTAACCAAGAAGGTGAAAGATCTCTACAATGAGAACTACAAATCACTCTTGAAAAAAATTGAAGAGGACACAAAAAGATGGAGAGACATTCCATGCTCTTGGATTGGAAGAATTAATATTGTGAAAATGTCCATATTACCCAAAGTGATCTACAGATTCAAAGCAATTGCTATCAGAATACCAGTGACATTGTTTACAGAAATAGAAAAAAAAAATCCTAACATTCATATGGAACATAAAAAGAGGCAGAGGCATTACATACCTGACTTCAAATTATATTACAAAGCTATAGTAACCAAAACAGCATGGTATTGGCATAAAAACAGATACTCAGACAAATGGAACAGAATGCAGAATCCAGAAATCAACCCACATATTTACAGCCAACATATCTTCAACAAAGGCACCAATAACATACATTGTGTAAAAAATTGCCTCTTCAACAAATGGTGCTGGGAAACTGGACATCCATATGTATATAAAAATAAGAATAAAACTAGACCCATACCTCTCCCATATACCAAAATCAACTCAAAATGGATTAAAGATTTAAGTATAAGACCTGAAACTATAAAAACTCCCAAAAGAAAACACAGAGGAAACACTTCAGGAAGTAGGACTGGGCAAAGACTTTATGAATAAGATCCTCAAAGCATAGGCAACCAAAGAAAAAAATAAACAAATGGGATTATATCAAAATAAAACATTACTGCATAGCAAAAGAAACAATTAATAGAGTAAAAAGACAACTTGCAGAATGGGAGAAAATATTGGCAAACTATGCATCCAATAAGAGATTTATATCCAGGATATATAAGGAACTCAAACAACTTAGTAAAAAAACAAGTTACCCAATTAAAAAATGTGTAAAGGAGCTGAATAGTCATTTCTTAAAGAAAGATATACAAATTGCCAACAGACACATGAAAAAAAATGCTCAGCATCACTAAGCATCAGGGAAATGCAAATCAAAACCAGATTGAGATTTCATTTCACCCTAGGTAGACTGGCCATTATCAAAAAGATAGAGAATAACAAATTCTGATGAGGATGCAGAGAAAGGGGAGCTCTCCTACACCATTGGTGGGACTGTAAATTAGTGTGGCCATTATGGAAAACAGTATGGAGGTTCCTCAAACAACTACAGATAGAAGTGCCATATAATCCAGCAATCCCACTGCTGGGTGTATACCCAAAGGAATGGAAATCATCACGTTGAAGGGATACCTGAACTCCCATGTTTACTGCAGCTCTGTTTACAATAACCAAGAGTTGGAACCTACCTAAATGTCCATCGTTGGATGACTGGATAAGGAAATTGTGGTGTATATACACAATGGAATATTATTCTGCCACAAAAAAGAATGAAATTTGAGATTTGCAGCAATATGGATGACCTTAGAGAAAATTATGTTAAACTATTTAGTTTATTTAAGCCAGGCACAGAAAGAGAAATAGTGCATGTCCTCAGTCACAAGTGGGAGCTAAAAAAAAAAAAAAAAGCAAATAAGAAAGAAAGATACACTAATGACAATAATTCGTTGATCTTTCAAATGGAGAGAACAGAACTGAGGCCATCAGAGGTGGGAAAGGAGGAGGGGAAGGAGGGTTAGCAAGAAATTGGTAACCGGCCACAAAAAATGATTACATTTTGTAATGTTGAAGATACTAGTTATCCTGATTTGAGCATCACATATGGTACACAGGTATTTGATATTCAGTGCTGTACCCCACAGATATATACAATCAATTATGTTTTAATTACAAAAAAAGGAAACAAAATAACAAACAAACAAAACAACAACAACAAAACCCACCCAATCCAAGCAGACATTGGAATCTTCAGACCAAGCCAGCTCCTCCTGACAGGAGAAATTCTCTTGGCGGCACGTTATAATTCTAGAGGGTCCTTACAACATTAGTAACAAGGACCAGTCCACAGGGCATGAAGGGAATAAGCCACCGAATGCAGCCGAAAGGAACAATGAAAGGGACGGTTTCACTCCCGAGCTATCTAGGATGAAGGTTTTCAGCAGTGCCCCACACACATTTCTCAGCTACCAGCTCTTTTTGTCAATGGTCAGACAGCTTTGACCCCACTAATAAACACGTGCCAAAGAGCCTCGTGCTATTAGCCACCCCCGAGGAAGCCACATGGCTCCTCGCTGAGACATGACAGCGCCAGCAGGAAGCGAGCCGGTGCCACCGCGAGCCTACCTCGGAGAACCTCTGCACGTCCTGCGTCAGGGTGCCCACGCGCTTCCACCGGTAGTGCTTGAGCAGCTTCAGGATGGCGGGATTCACCGCGTTGTCTGATGGCACCGTCCGAAAGAAGTAAGGGTACTTTTTCTTATCTGCTAGGACAGGCGTGGTTGCAGCAAAGGAAAGCTGAAAAACACAAAAGAGACAGCACTGGTTACCGGTGAGCCACCCAGAGGTGAGCCCAGCATCTTTCCTAAGGGAACAGAAACTTTCTGTTCTGACTTGGGGCACAAAGACACGGATAAGCCTTTTTATTGTAAAAGTAATACATCACAGTTGAAGAGAAGATTAAAAAATGCAAAGTAAGGAGAAAGAAGGAAAAAAATTAACCAATGATCTATCCCTCCAAGCCACCAGTAATCTTGTAATCTGTTTCCTTCCAGTCCTTTTTTTATGCAGTGATTTAATCTTTTTAAAAAGGTTAATGAGATCACTCTGCATAAACAAATGAACTGTTTTTCCCCACTTAATGTTATCCTACAAGCATTTAACCATCCTGTTAAAAACTCCTTGTAAACATTTTAATAGCTGTATGATATTCCAGCATATGAACATACTGTAATTTATTGAATCATCTCTAATTTGAGGGCATTTACTTTGTTTCTAGTTTGTCATTATTATCATATTATTCTGCAGGCATCTTTGTGCAAAGCAATTTTTTCTATATTTCAGAATATTTCAGTAGGATAGAGTCTGTGATATAAAATTTCCCAGATAAAGACTTTAATACTTATTTTCAAAAAAGATTTTTATCAATTTGCACATCTATTGGCCTGGTATAATTAGAGGGCCAATATCACCACATTCTTGTCAACAGAGGGAATAAAACATTTGTAGTGGGTTGAGTTATGTCCCCCCCAAAACTCACTGAAGCTTGAATGTATCCCACAAGTTTTATGCATTAGAAACTTGGTCCCCACTGTGACTGTTAAGAGGGTGGGAAATCCTATTATGGTAATTGAAAGATGGAGCTTTGGAGAGATGATTATATTGTAGGACGATGCTGTAGTGAATGGATTAAAAATGGTCAAGGGCGTGGTTCTGAGGGCTTTAAAAGAAGAGAGAAGAGAGTCTGTCTTTCTCTCTCTCTGCTCTCTCTTTTTCCACCATCTTGCAATGTGAGACCCCTGGGTCACTGTCGCCACCACCAGATGGACTTTGGACTTCCCAGCCTCAGAAACTGTAAGCGATAAATTTCATTTTCTTTATAAATCACCCAGTTCCGAGTATCTTGTTATAAGCAACAGAAATGGGCTAATACATTTCTATCTAATTTTATAATGGTTTATCACTAAAAAATTGAATCATATTGCATGCATGGTTATATATAATGTTGAACGTTTTTCCATGTGGGTATCTATTTTAGGAACTGCTTTTTCATGTCCTTTGTTAATTTTTTTAGTTTGTTTATTTATTGAGTTTCATGAAGACTTTTTATATGTACAGCATTCAAACTCCGGCTATTTATTATAGTTGCTGCAAAGATCTCAGTTTGTTTGCCTTTACATTGTGTGTGTGTATTTTAATTTATACCCTGTGGTTAAATCTGTCCATCTTTCTCTTTATTATTTCTTCTTTTTCTTTTAAGTGCCAGTAAGTTGTTAAATTGGATTTTAATTATCTGTCCTACAAGGCCAAGCTGAAATGTCACCTCTTCCGTAACATTTCCTCTGATCTCTGCTCTCCTGTCACTCAGCCTCATCCTCAGAAGATGGTTATCAAACTTTTTGATCTTTGCAGTGTGATGGTGAAAAAATGGTATGTTATTGTAGTTCTAATTTGCATTTATCTCATTGTGAGGGAGGTTGAGTATCTCTTCCTAGTTCCTTCCTTCTTTTGCTTCATTTAAATCTTGGATTCTGAGAGGGCATGGCTGAAGCAAGTTCAATCTTTGCTGTCACCAGCTCTCCCCACAAATCCTTCCTTGTCCGGCAGCAGCTTTAGATTTGATACATCCCAGAGTCCAATTTCAGAATCCAAGGAAATAACATCCTGGCACCCTCAGGCCCCAGCTTAAGATACTTTACTGCTTCTGTCACCCAAAGAAGCACTTCCCCCCAAGACTTTGGGAAGGCGGGCCGTAGAGGTTTGTCCTTTCCCCTGGTCTGGTTCGGAGGGTAGACCACTACTACCTAGGATCCCTGGACCTCCCGTGTCCACTCAGCAGCCTCGACAGGTCCTATCTGTTGGAGCTGGTCACACAACAGTCCATCAGCCATTACCTAGAGCTGGAGAGCACCTATAGAAGCCAATTTCTAAGATCCCCACAGAGACATGGACACCCCAAGGTTGGTAAGAGTCAAGGGTAGAATGACTGTTAAAAAGATTCTGGGTAGAAGAGGACCAACAGTAAAATCTACAGAAAGAAACTTTCAGCTAGACATATTGAAAAACAGCCACATTCAGAGTTGTCCAGCAATGGAAAACCTGCCATCAGAAGTAGTGAGATCCCTGGTTCTGGAGGCGTGTTGAGGCTGGACTGCAACCTACTTCAAGGTGTCTGGGAACCCCCAAAAAAACTGTAGGAAAAAGTTTGTGTGAGCATGTATGTGCATACAGGCATGCACATTTTTCTGAAAAGAAGGATCCATGGCTTCCATCAGATTCACAGAGGATCGTACAATCCAAACAAGGTTCACACATCTGCCTGCAGGTGACATTTAGGTCCCATAGTTGGTGCAAGAAACAGAAGCTTTCGCCAGTCCCCTCCAAGTGTCCGTGATTCTTCTCTCAAGATTAAAACAATGCTGCAAGCCTCATGCACTCACCAGTGTAAGGAGGAGCTATTAGAAAAATCTGGGAGGAGCTGTTTCAGGACCTAGGACATTATATGTATGCCATCACATTCCCCAAAATGCTTATCTAATATAATTTGGAAAATATTGGTTTTCTGATGTGATTTCTGAATCACACTCTGGTTGATACTTTACTGTTACTGTCCCATTAGTTCCAGGTCCACAATTAATTGTTGCATGAACAACCTCATATGTTTGCCCTGTAGGTAATTACGGTGGTTACTGTTCAGTGAATAAATGGCCCATTGTGTTTACAATGGGCTTGGAGTACAATATATGCCCTGGGTCTAAATCATGTTGGGTGCAGAATATGAACTGGCACTGACATTTTCTGCACCATTTGAGATAATGCACAATTTGATTAGATTGCTTTGCATCACTGTTTCTCTGGCTTTAGCCTCCTAAAACTTTTTTCCATGGGCAAAGACTTCAGGTGGCTACTAGCACTGCTGAACTTCAGAACTGGGGAGAATCTGAGAAATCATCTAGCTCTGGGGTTCTCTACTCTGACTGCACACTGGAATCACTTAGGGAGATTTCAAAAAATACTGATGACTTAGTCACACTCCAAACCAACTGAATCAGAATCTCTGGGCATACAGCCCAAGCATCAGTATTATTTTAAAACTTTCTAGGAGATTATGATGCCGAGTGATGGTTGAGAACCACTGATACAGATTGACACCTGGTTTTGAATACCAGACTGAGGCTGAGAAATGGGGTGAAATCAAGATATTAACCATAGCCAATAAGCAGGACTTGAACCCAGGTCTAAAGGACACTACCGCCAGTGCTCTCCAACCTGTTGATGGCTGCCCACCTGTCTCCTATGTGCTCCCAGGCCTTCCTCCCCCAGCACAGTCACCCTGCTTTTGACAACGCCAGGGCTGCTAGCATAAGGGACCTAATTTGAAGACTCAAGCTTTCCGAGCTCTCCTGCCTTGTTTCATACAACCAAGTTCATTTCTCAATAGACTGTGATTGAGGCTTCAAGTTAATCCCTAACCAAGAATTTATTTCAGAGAGAATTTTAAGCTTAATTTATGGTTTTGTTATTACTTCTAGTTTTATTACATTATTTTGAGAATTTTGCATGTACAGTATCTGCCCTTGGAATTTATTGAGAGTTTCTTTGTGGCCTATTATACAATCAGCTTTTGTAGAAGTTCCATGATGGCTGGAAAAAAAGATGCAATCTCTAGTTGTAAGCTATAGAATTCTTTATTAGATTACTTATGCATAATAGATATAATCAAATTAGTTAATTATATTATTATCATATGCTTCATATTTTTCTTTACTTGATTTACCAAAGATTGAGAGGTTTGTTAAATTTTTTTGTATCATCTCTGACCATTTTTCCATATATTTCAAGTTTTTGCTTTATATGCTTAATATGCTTAGTATGTTTTGAGCATCAATGTTCGTCACAATTATATCTTTACTTTTCAGCAATGTATTATACCCTTGCCTAGTGCAAATAGCAGGCACTTAATACATATTCATTGAGTGAATTGGAGATTGAAATATTTATCAAGGTAAAGTAAACCTCCTTGTTATTGTATTGCTTTTGTTTTATACTACATCTTGTTTGATATTAATATTGCAACCCTTACTTTATTTTTGCTTGCATTTGCCTGTCATAGTGTGATCCTTCTTTTATTTGTATTATATTAAGATTATTTTTAAATATATTTCTTGAAAAGAGCATATGGATAGATTTTAAGATATGTATGCTTATTGCTATAATAAATACTTTGTCTTGCATTTGTCATCTTGTTGGTCATCTCACTCATTTTTTATGCTTCCTTTCTATTTCTTTTGGTTAACATTGGTACTCAGCTTTGCATCTACTCTTTTCCATCTTTTTTTTTT